CCGGGGGAGGGGGCGGGAGTACTCCTCGGGGATGCCAGGCACCGGGCCTGAAATTGTTGGCCCGTTTGTAGCTCGAGCTAGGACAAAGCTCAGCGCCCCGGAGCGGCACCAGGAGACGTTTTGCTGAACCGCTGACCTTTTGAGCAATTGTTGAAACCAGAGCCGGCTCTCTGAGGCATGAAATGGTTTGGCCACTTGATAAGTTGCTCTTAATTGTGGGCTCATCCTCAGGAGCCTTTAGAGAGCTCTAATGTGGGCAAAATGGCAGATTCTGCCAGCAGCTGCACTGTTTCCCAGCATCCCCGCCTGCCTCACTGCGGATGGTTTCCATGGAGACCGCAGGAGTGGTAGTGCTGTGATGGGCCGAGGTTTCTGTGGAAACCAACCCCCCAGCAGCGCTGGCAGGGCTGGGCGGAGACCTGCTCTGGGGCTGGGATCCTGCAGTGGTGACAACATGGTCCAAAGTCAGGGCAGAGTCACGATGCACTACCTGCACATCCCTGCCTTGGGTCACAGCTCTGGCCCGGTACTGCCGCAACATACGAGCCCTGGAGCAGCTCCCTGCCCTGCCGTGTGGCCTCCCAATACTGCTGGGGCCGGTCTCCATGGAAACCTTGACCTGTGCTGTCATGGTGCTGCTGCTCCTGGGTCTCCATGGAAACCAGCTGCAGTGATGTGGGTGGGAGCTGCTGGGAAATGGAGCCCACCATGGGCCTGATCCAGCTTGCAGGCTGCATTTGCCCACCCCTAGGATAACTTCCTTCACCTTGTTCCATAGCAGTAACCACCTTTATTTCTATTTTTGACTGGGTGGTGGTGATCATGGTCAATGTCTGTGTTTGATTTGCAAAGTGACTATGGTCTGTGGTGAGATTAATGTGCAGGAATTTTAACACATTAGGGGAAATCATGAGCCAGGCCCACCACGGAAACTATAACCCCCCTTTGGTATTGGATTACTAGTGATCTGTGACAGATTTCTTTGGACAACTAATAATGAAAAGAGACAGGAGTGGAGGTCAGAGGTTTGTAACAAGAGTGCCATAGGGGAACACCAAGCAGAGCACACCAGACGGCGCCCACTGGCCCTCAAATGAATCCAAGGAGGCAGCAAAGGCAATGTGCCACTCACGGGACTGGTGACCCACACACTTCTCTTGTGGATAAAAAAAATGCCCATACAAATAAAAATATGTCATGTAATTGACCTTAAAGCCTCCTGTTTTCATAGTTATAATACTTATTTAATTCTCTTTTTTTGGATTGACTTCCCCTTCCCCCGTTCCCTCTGCCTTTCAGTACCTCAGTTGTGACCATTCAAATATGATTTTTTTGCAGACAGCCCCAAGGTTCCTGAATATTTAATCTACCACTTGGACATCTGGCTTCACTACAATGGTAAGAGATGGTTCAAGTCATGTATTGTTTTGCCTGTAAACTGTTTGATGTGTGGGAGACAAAAACAAAAACACTCTTTGTTTCTGACATCTTCAGAAGTTCAGCTTTTTTAAGCACTTGTTGTTGTTTTTGTCTTGCATGTGGGGGATGGGAGGGAGGTGGGCAGATACTTTTGGAGTTTGTCCTAGAATTGATATTCACAAGTTAGTATGAACAGAACACAAGAAGAGCACAAACTCGCCTGCATTCTATCTTTGACAGTGGCAAGTAGACTCAGAGGAATGAGTAAATTCTACACATCCAATGGAGCCCTTACATGTCCAGAGGGTTCTTCTTGATGGGTGGCTGTGACTGCCTGCTGCTGCCCCCTTTTTAAGTAGGGTGCATGTAAATCATATCTTCCCCTCTCTCCCAGTTTTCTTATGTGACATACCCACCATTCACATCAAATCACTGGGCAGGTTCCTGGGGTAGAGAGCCTTGTTTACCAGGGCACTGCACCTCTCACAACCAAAATTCTTTGGGGTGTCTTAGCCTGCAGTCCCCTACAGCTAGTTCTCCCCTTTTGCAGTGTCCTTTAAGGTTTGCTACCTGGTCTCTCAAAACTCATTCCAAGCACTAGTTTCTCCTTTAATCCTTCAGATAAACTTGAACTAGTCCCAGCCTTCCTTCTGGCATGCTTGGACCTAGTTCACGTATCTCTCTTTTTGCACCCTTTCCCCAAGCCTACTCACTGTGTCAGCTACTTCGGCCTGGTTTTCTGTTACAGGGCTACTATTCTGTACCACTGCAGCACTGTTTCCCTTTACACTGCTTTCCCTTTACAGCCTTTTATTTTTATCCTTTAAAGGAAAGGCCTCCCAGTCTGTTTTATCCCTCTAAAGAGACCTTCCATTTCTTCCTTAAAGTGAGGACTCAAGAGGGCCCTGTTACAGTGGGCTACATGTAAAAGCACATGGGTTCATATTACTTGTGTTCTCATTTCAAATATATAAATTCTTATGATTAGTCATGCCAGCTCTGTTGAATTCTGTTAAAGTCTACCTCAGTTTAAAAAACCATATTTTTCATACCAGTGGGTTCTGCAGGCTAATGGCGAAGCATTGACTTGAAAGTCAGTTTCTTATCTAAAAGCTTTAACACTTATTGCAAGTAATTACAAGTGTTACTTTAGGTGAAAGATTAAGGACAGGAGGAAGTAACTTTTCTTATCTTCTATGTATTGTATAACTCTCTTGCCATAATCAGTTTCTCTTCCTGTATCCTGCCACAAGGTGTAGTTGGTCTCCTGGTAGTTGTTACAGGTAATTCACAATTAACTGGTTAACTGCACATGTAGAGATGTTGATAATGAGGAAACTGCAACTTTAGAGATGAGATTTATCAAGAGACAATAGGAGTCTGCTTGGAACTTTTATGATTATTGACAGAGAAAGAAAGTCCTTTTCATTAATTTTAGTGGGAGTTGTGGCCCTTGGTCTTATGCTTCTGTGGAACCCCAATCCTTGGCAGCCTAGGACTTCATTCTTCATGCTTGAGTCTCTTGCGTGGCAAAAAAATACTCTTCCCCTTATCAAACTTCCTATTTCAAAGAGGTTGATCACTCTTATAGTATAGCTGTTGAGTGTCTTCTCTCCTTGTTCTGGAATAGCATTGACAGAAGTCTTAGGTGCACTGAAGTGAAAATAGATCCTTTAAGGCAGGGCTCTCCAGCTGGCAGCCTGTGAGTGGTTACTTTCAGCCCACAGAGATTGTTGGCATGGCTGCCAAAGTTGTTGCAGTAACATGGCTTTCAGAACCCAGGGGATGAATGCTGTTGCTACTTGGCCCCCTGTTAAATTTGAGGACTTCATTTACTGTTGACTAAAATAAATAATAGGGAAAATGGGGGGAAGAATGGCAGCAGCATTCACCCCTGGATTCCAAAGGATGCCAGTACAGTGATTCTGGCAGCCACTTCAACAAGCTGAAAAGGATCTTGGAGTCATAGTTGACTCCAAGATGAACATGAGCCGGCAGTGTAACGAAGCCATCAACAAAGCCGATCGCACCTTATCATGCATTAACAGATATATGACCAACAGATTGAGGGAGGTGATGTTCCCCCTCTGTGCGGCATTGGTCAGGCCAAAGTTGGAGTACTGTGTCCAGTTTTGGGCGCCACACTTCAAGAGGGATGCGGAGAATCTGGAGAGGGTTCAGAGGAGGGCCACTCATGATTAGTGGCCTCCATGCAAGACTCTACAAGGGGAGGTTGAGGGATCTGGATCTCTTCAGCCTTCACAAGAGACATCTGAGGGGAGACCTTGTAGCTGCCTATAAGTTTACCAAGGGAGGACAACAGAGAATTTGAGATGCAGTATTTACCAGGGCACCCTGAGGAGTAACTGGCAATAATGGGTACAAACTAGTGGAGAGTAGATTCAGGTTAGACATTAGGAAGAAATTTTTCATAGTAAGGGTGGACAGAATCTGGAACAAGCTGCCAAGAGAGGTAATAACTGTCACCCAACTTGGAGGTCTTTAAGAGGAAGCTAGATAGTCACCTGGCTGGGGATGTCTGTCCTCAGTCCTTTTTCCTGCCTGGGGCAGGGGGTCAGACACGATGATCCTTCGTGGTCCCTTCTGTCTCTACAGTCTATGAATCTGTGCTGACCCACTGCCAGGGGTGGGTCATCTGGCTCACGAGTACCCCCCTGAACCTGAGGTTACTTTTTTAAAACTGAAAATGGGATTTTTTTAAATCGGAGAAAACCAGGATCCCTGCTCATAAGTCATTCGCCTCAGCCCCCTAACCATTTTCATTGCTCTCTGCTCTCAGTTTGTCCACATCCTTTCTGTAGTGAGAGGCCCAAAGTGGGGGACAGTACTCCAGATGTGACTGCACCAGTGGTGAATAAAGGGGAATCATCACTTCCCTTGACCTACTGGCAACACTCCTACCAATACAGCCTAGTATGTCATTAACGTTCTTGGCAACAAGGGCACACTGATGGCTCTTATTCACCTTTTTATCCACTGTAACCCCCAGGTCCTTTTCTGCAGGGCTATTGCCTAGCCAGTCAGCCCCCAGCCTCTACTGCTGCATGGGACTGTTGCATCCTAAGTGCAGGACTTTACAGTTGTCCTTATTGAACCTCATGAGATTTCTTTTGGTCCAGTCCTCCAATTTGTCTAGGTCTCTCTGAATCCTAACCCTACACTCCAGTGTATCTACTATACCCCCCAGCTTGGTGTCATCTGTGAATCTGCAAACTTGATGAGGGTACACTTTTTGCCATTTTCCAGGTCATTGATGAAGATATTGAACAAAGCTGGCCCCAAAACTGACCCCTGGGCCACTCCGTTTGATACTGGCTGTTAACTAGACATCAAGCCATTGGCTACTACCATCTGAACCAGCCAGTTTTCCATTCACTTTACAGTTTGTTAATCCAACCAATACTTTCTTAGCTTGCCTGCAAGAACGTGGTGGGAGACTATATCAAAAGCCTTGCTAAAGTCCAGGTATATCACATCTGCTGCTCTTCCATCATCCACAGAGCCAGTATTTTATCATAGAAGTCAATCAGGGTGGTCAGGCCTGTCTTGCCCTTGGTGAATTCATGTTGACTGTTCCTGATCACCTTCTTCTCCTCCAAGTGCTTAGAAATTCATTCCTTAAGGACCTGCTTCATGACTTCTCCAGCAGTGGAGGTGAAGCTGACTGGTCTGTAATTCCCCAGATCCCCCTTTTTCACTGTCTTTGTTTGCCCTTTTTCACTAAGTTTGCACTATGTTTGCCCTTTTTCAATTGTCTGGGACCTCTCCTGATTGCTGAGTTTTCAAAGATGATTGGCCAGTGGCTCTTCAACCACATTGACCAACTGTCTTAGCATTCTCAGGTTCGTCTCATCCAGCCCCATGGATTTCTATATGTCCAGCCTTTTTAAATAGTCCCTAGCCTGTTCTTTTTCCACTGTTGGCTGCTCACCTTCTCCCCAAATGTTGCTACCAGGTGCAGTAGTCTGGGAACTAGCCTTGTCTGTGAAGACTGAGGTGAAAAAGATGTTGAGCACTTCAGCCTTTTCTGCATCCTCTGTCACTAGATTGCCTCCCCCATTCAGTAAGGGATCCACACTGTCCCTGTTCCTCCTCTTGTTACTGACATACTTGTAGAAACCCTTCTTGTTACCCTTCACGTCCCTTGCTAACTGCAACTCCAATTGCACTTTGGCCTTCCTGACTTCATCCCTGCATGCCCAAGCAATACTCTTATACTCCTCCCTAGTTGTTTGTTCAAGTTTCCACTTCTTCTAAGATTCCTTTTTTGTGATTAAGCTCACTGAAGAGTTTCCTGCTAAGCCAAGCTGGTCTTCTGTCATACTTACTAGTCTTCCTGTGTATTGGCATGGTTTGTTCATGTGCTCTCAGTAAGGCTTCTTTAAAGTACAACCAGCTCTCCTGGACGACTCTCCCCCTCAGACTCACTCAGGGAAGGATTGCCTGGGAAGCCAATCAAAGTCTGCTTTTCTGAAGTCCAGTCTTATTCTTCTGCTCTCCTTCCTTTCTTTCGTCAGGATGCTGAATTCAATCACCTCATGGTCACTGCTGCTCATGTTGCCATCCATTACTATATTCCCCACCACTTCTTCCGTGTTTGCAAGCAGCAGGTCAAGAAGAGCGTGGCCCCTAGTTGGCCACTCCATCACTTCCACCATGAAGCTGTCCCCAACACTTTCCAGGAACTTGCTGGATTGCCTGTGCACTGCTGTATTGTCCTCCCAGCAGATGTCAGGGTGATTGAAGTTCCCAGTGAGAACCAGGACCTGTGAAACTTCCACCAGGTGTTTGAAGAAAGCCTCATCCACTTCCTCTTGATCTGATGGTCCATGGCAGACCCCCACCCCAACATCACCTTTGCTCTCCGCTCTGACCCTAACCCAGAGACTCTCAACAGGCCTATCTCCGGTTTCATGCTGGAGCTCTGAGCAGTCATATGGCTTTTTTACATAAAGTGC